CAGAAGCATGTGCTGCCGTTATAATGTAGCCTTTAAGGACATCTGTGCCATCATTTCCAAAGCCTTCCAGGAATTCTTGGTAGTTTTGGCTTCTGAGATTTTCCTGGTGAGGTTATAGAGACTTACCATTTTCTGATAGGAATATCTGCCAAGCATATGAAACACAAAAGAAAATTAAAGTTAAGAAACTTTGTTCTATCCAAGACTGAGGTAACTATGGCAAGTGTCACTGAATAAATTAAACACACAGAGCTTGGTTTGAGACTTGGACCTGTTAGGAAGAGCCATGGGGACTCGGCCAGAACCTTGCACCTTGGTGGTCGCCTCACAGAAGCCACAGCAGTGGCCAGCAGGAGAACGTCTTGCCATGGACATGGTGAGACATAAACAGGGGATTCAGAGGCTGAAACAAAAGTTTGAGAATACAGACACAGTGCAGAAAGTTAGAACTGCGGAGCTGGCAGATCTTCGTCCAGTTGATGAAGCTATGTGTCTTGAAGCTGGTTCTTTCAGCACTTGGGAGATGAAGCAGATGGTCATCCTTCCACATATAGGCACTCTCTGCCCCCCTGGCTCCAGGAGACTCTGCCTCTAACAGAGAGAGAGGGGCAGTAGGCCCTTCCAAGTAACACACTTCATGTTACCACCACAGGTGTGGAAACGGCTACAAGTTCTCATGCCAGATGGCACCTAACACACATTTCTTTGGTCACATTTAGGAGAGAAATTGATTAGCAGAAAAAGAAGTCATTTGTTCACATAAAATTTTTTGATGCTTAGAATTCAGAAATTCACTAGGCAGTGGTGTGCAGGCTTTTAATCCCAACACTCAGGAGGCAGAGGTGGATGGATCTCTGTGAGTTCAATGCCAGCCTGGTCTATAGAGCAAGTACCAGGATAGTCAGGGCTGTTACACAGAGAAACCCTGTCTTGAAAAACCAAAGAAAAGAGAAAAAGAATTCAGAATTTTTTTTTAAAGCCAGGAAGAAAGGAAGGAAGGAAGGAAGGAAGGAAAAAAGAAATTACTATTTTCATTTGAGGAGGAAAATGGCTTAAGTAAAAGTTTCAAATTCTGTGATTATGTGCTAAGGCGAGTTAATCTTTTCCATAAAATGAACACCCGCATCTGTTTGGGTGAAGTTAATATTTGTTCCAAGACTCCAGGCACCTGGCAAGAAAAACACACCTCTATTTCTTTCAATATGTCTACTGTTTGAATCAGATATACAGAGACCATCTCAGCTGGTCTAGATTTTCACTTGTTTTGGTAATTATTATCATATTATTTGTTTTGCTTTTTTGACATAGGGGGTCACCACATGGCAGTGGCTGATCTGTCTTACCCTGTCTCCCTAGTGCTGGGACTAAAGGTATACACCAACACATTGCTGAAGCTCCCCCTCTCTCAGCATTCTGAAACCTTTAACATTTTTCTCCCCAAATTTACTTGAAGATGTATCATAAACTTGGTTGAATAAGGCAATGGTTAATTCAAGTTAAGCAACCACAGGATTAAAAACAAAAATGAGTAATCATCTTAGTTTTACATTAATTAGCAGTAAATTATTGGGAGGTAAAATTGTGAGAACCAATGTACTTCTGCTTTTGGACAAAATTAATGCAATTTTCATTGTTAACTATGCTCAAGTAGGTAAATATACAAACAGACTTTTTTATTTATGTGTATGGGCATTCTGCTGGCATGTATGTCTGTGCGCCCTGTGTTCCTGGTGTCCTGAGAGGCCAGAAGGCAGCAGATCTCCCTGGGACTGGAGTTACTAACAGTTGTGAGCTGCCACGTGGGCACTGGGAATTGAACCCTGGTCCTCTGGAAGACCAGCTAGTGATCTTGTTGAGCCATCTCTCCAGCCCCCACACAGAATTCTTATCTTAGATGATGGTAGAATGATAAGAGCACTTGCTTAAGCCTGCAGTGTACATCCCAGCACTAGGGAGGCAGACACAGATGGATCTCTGAGTTTGAGGCCAGTCTAGTCCATAGAGTGAATTCCAGGACAACCAGGGCTACACAGAGAAACTCTATCTTGGAAAACAAAACACAAACAAACAAAAAGATTCTGAGCCAGGCCTGGTGGCATCTGTAATCCCAGCTACACTGGAGGTCGAGTCAGGAACATCACACGTCCCAAGTCGGCGTGGGTTAGTTTAGCATTTGTTCTCATTCATGTCGAGAGAGATGGTAGCTCTGATCCTGCAGCATAGAGGCAGGGTGTGTTACTTTAAAAGTGCCTTTTTCTTCTAAAAATTCCTTTTCCTGCCACGCAGTGCTGGCACACACCTTTAATCCCAGCGCTCAGGAGGCAGGCAAGTTTTCATGTTGGACTATCTTTGGATCACCAGCCTTCAAATAATGACCCGGAGACATCTTATGAGAGCTTTGCCGTAGTTTAGGCTTTTCTTTCCCCCTAACTAGTCTTTATTACTTAATTAAACTCATATTTTTAAATCTACATTTTGTCATGTGGTTTGGTTACCTCTTCTTAGTAAGGCGCATCAGACTTGTTGGAGTCTGTTGGCAAAATCACACCTAGATCCCTCGGTTTTTCCTCTCTCTATCTGGAAGTTCCGCCTCTTTTTTTCTGTCTAGCTATTGGCCATGTAATTCTTTATTAAACCAATCAGAAGGCACCTTAGGCAGAGACATCTTTACAGTGTAAACAAATGTTCTACAACAGAGCTCTGTGAGTTCGAGGCCAGCTTGGTCTACAGAGGAGTTCCAGGACAGTAAGATTTACACAGAGAAACCCTGTCTCTAAAACCAAAGCCAAACAACAGAAGAATCTCTTTCCCCAACTGCTGCTCTGATCATTGCACAACGGGTTTCTTGGGTCCCAGCCTCAGACAGAACCTCAGGAGGTGGTAGCCTCTTGCTAACCTCAGGACACAAAGTAGCTCGTGTCACGACAGCCATCATTTTGACAGACAAGCAAACTGACAGCCTTCTCCGAGTCCTAGTCCATTAAGTGGGCAACATCTACTAGATCTTGGTTAAGGAATGGCAGGGTTGGAAGATGTCTGCCTTCAGCCGGGTCCAGGCTTAAAGGAGGTGTCCATGAGTCAGAGCTGCAGGCTTTGCCTCCTCTTCTGAAGGATCATCTGGATAGAAACTGGGAGGCATGACAGCAAATACTTTGGGGCCGAGCTTAAGTTAAATTCTAGCCAGGCAAGTTTGGGCTGATGTCTGACAGTCATCTGTTAGAAGGGACGGGGACAGCAATTTCATAGCTTGTCACGGGATGAGACAGAAACATTTGTCTTGTACAATGTCTAGAATATGGTAAGAGTAAATTAAACATAGGTTATTGCCATTATTCTTAATAAACTGAGATGATTTCAGATTTTATGTAAGGCCACTATCAGTAGTAGTAGGCTGAATTCCTTTTCTTCCTTCCTTTTACTTCTTTAATTCTTTGAGTCTGTGGCTATCCTTTGTCAGAAATAGAAAAAAATTAAATGGTGCGTTTACTTCAAAAACACATTTCAAGGAACCCAACTAGAAGTGATCAATTCAAAATCAACTCTGAAGAAACTTTAATTTAAAGGTTCCCACTACCAGAAGCAAGACGATGCTGCAGCCAAATCACTTCCCAGAAGGCTGATGCAGAGGCCTGGGCCTGACTCAGCATTGCCCTGGCAACAGAAGGGCCTACAGGGCCTCAGTCCCTGATCCCTTAATCTGAAGACCTGACACACATGCCCCGGGAAAGGTCTCCAGGATACCTGGCTGTTGGAACTGCTCTGGGGAAGGATAGAGGTGAAAAATCAAAGATGTGACCTTTTGTTTGTTTTTGTTTGTTTGTTGTTTTGCCAGTGGTAAGTGAGAAAAAGTTCTCCCTGAAGCCCAGGCTTCTCCAGACCTCAAAGGTGCAGCTCAGAGAATGAAGCCCAAAGCCACCCAGCCCAGCACCGCCAAGGCAGCAGTGGTTTGTTTCCTCACAGAGCCCCTACGTAATTCTGGAGGCCACACAACCAAGTACCTTAATGGTCCCAGGCCCACACCTTCATCTGCTTCCTCCTGCCCTGACAAGAATCTCTTAGATGGCCGAGAAAACTCATCAGTCGCCCACTTAATGGCTCCTTCTAGGAAATGCTGTCTTGCTCTAGAGTTTTCTCTCCCACTAAAATTCATTTCCATCCTTAGGACACTCATCATTTTGACAAACATACAGTCTATTCCCTTAATAGATTTCCTTTCCCTCAATCTTAATTTCAATGAAAAAAATCTGGTATAAATAGAATAGATAACAGACTGGCTTTTCTCTTTCCAACAACCTCCAGATCCCAGGGAAAGAACTTTAGGATCAAACATGGCTTTTTGGGCTGAAGACTCGAGTTCAAATCTGAGCTGTAACCAGACATGGGTGGTTCGGGTCTTTAATCCCAGCACTTTGGAGGTAGAGGCAGGGAGATCTCTATCAGTTCCAGGACATTCTGGTCTACATAGTAAGTTCCAGACAGCCAGAGGTATATAGTGACACCCTGTCTTAAAAAAAAAATGCCACGAGTTTGAGACCTGGGCTACACAGCGAGTCCAGACCAGCCTGGGTAGGTGCAAGAGCCTGCTTCAGAACACTAAAACCCAAAAAGCAAACATACAAAAATCCTGACTGTCATTTTCTTTCGTGTGACTTTGGACTACATAAGCTGTTACCCGATACCTCTGTGCACTCATGCATATGCACACACAAGTCCCACCCCCACATAATTAAAAACAACGCCCCGAATGGTTGTTGTGACTGCTCACCTTCCCCAGTCTTCCGGCCTTCAAGTTGGTCAGCACTGTCCCTCCTCTTGACTTTATATTCAGTCAGTGGCACCTGCTTCTCCTTACACCCCCCCCCCCCCCATGGACAATGAGACAACCACTGTTAGGTGATACTAGGTACACAGCCCTCGGGCCACTCCAGCCCCTCCCCTTACAAACCAAACAAGAACAGCAAACAGGAAACGCTCATCTTTTAAAAATTACTCTATTATTATCAAATAGAACCACAGTATCCAAAAGGTAATTAGAAAGTTCTATCCCGGACTAAATGGCCCTGCATCGCCGCCTGTGAGTGGCTGGCAGCCAAATCACTGCCCCCGTGCAGATTGTTTTCATCCATTTTATTGTCAAGGAAATTAACAGCCTGAAGGGGTTCCCCAGGCCCAAGAGCTCCCCCCCTGGGACCCTGGGGGAAGCAGGCAACAAGCGACCTGGTTTCACTACCCGTCCTGGGGAGAAGGGACAGGAGGGGAGGAGGGTTCACAGCAGAAGGGCTTGGGGCGCCCCGCTCCCGCCCACTGGGCTCAGCCTGGGGGCAACTGAGGCACCGGTCCCAGGGACCATAGAACCTTGCACCTAGCTGCTCATCTGGCCAGGGCAGGGGCGGGGCGCATGCTCACTCGCCCGTGTGGGTCCGCAGGTGGTACTTGAGCGACTGTTTGTAGCGGAAGCACTTGGCGCAGTGCGTGCAGGGGTAGGGCCGCTCGCCAGTGTGTGCTCGCTGGTGCTCCAACAGGTGGTGTTTCTGTGTGAAGCGCTTGCCACACTCGGCGCAGTGGTAGGGCCGCTCACCCGTGTGGATTCGCCGGTGTTCCAGCAGGTGGTGCTTGCGGATGAAGCTCTTGCCGCATTCGGGGCATGCATGCGGCCGTTCGCGCGAGTGCACGCGGCAGTGGTTGGTGAGCTTAGATTTTTCGCTGAAGCTCTTCTCGCACTCCGGGCACTTGAAGGGCCTTTCGCCGGTGTGAGTCCGCTGGTGGCGCAGCAGGTGCGATGGGCGGCTGAAGCTCTTGCCGCACAGGCTGCAAATGAAGGAGACCTCGTGCTTGCCAGCATGCACACGCTGGTGGATCACCAGGCTGATGTGCAAGCGGAAGCTCTTCTTGCATTCCGGGCACGTGTAGGGCCTCTCTCCCGTATGTGTGATCTGGTGCTTGGTCAGACTTGATTTGTGGCTGAAGCTGCTGTCACACTCGGGACACTTGTAGGGCTTGGGGCCACCACCACTGCCTGAGCTGGGCGACTTGGGGCGCGGCTTGAGCGAGTGCTTGGGATTGAAGGCTGACCCGCGCTCCGGGGAGACGTAGCCGCTGCGCACCCTGTGGATGCGCTGGTGAAGTGTGAGTTGCTGCTTGTGGCGGAAGCTGATCTCACACTCGGCACACTCATAGGGCCCCTCCTTGATGTGGTTGCGCTGGTGGATGATAAGGTTAATCTTCAGCCGAAAGCTCTTGCCGCACTCCATGCAAGTGAAGGGCCGCTCGCCTCGTCGATTCCGCTGCTGCTGGCTGGAGGACCCACGGTTCTCACCCAGGTGCCGCTCACCATGCCCATGTGAATGTCCATGAAGGCTGGGCGCCAGCCTCTTCACTGCTGGGTTGCCCAGCTGCAGGGGTGGGGGGCTCTCCTCGCCCTCGGGGGACATCTCCCCAGGAAGGGGGGTCTGGTACATACTGGCCTCGTACCTCCCGGATAGCTGCCCAAGGGATTGCAAGTGCTGTGGCAGCTCATCCTCCTCTTCTTCTTCCTCCTCCTCCTCTTGCTCCTCAGTCTTTATCACGATCCCCTCTGCTCCAAGGTTAGAAAAAAAGAGTTTAGCCATTATCTAGAACCCTGATCCTGGATAAGCACAAGGCTTAATCCTCATCTACACCAACAAACATTGTGCTACACACACCCCTTGATACATAAATATATTTATCCAAATTCCTCCTTTTGGGAAAATCTAGTCCCATGATTCCTACCTTTGGATGACCAGTTGTGAAACCCAGAACTAAACAGGGCTCTTGGGGAGGAAGTAGAGGAGCTGGCTACTTGGTGCCCTGGTACTCCTAATACGAAGTAGCTGGAGGATCATGCCCCAGAGGGAAAGAAACCAGCCCTGAGAACCATCACACCGTGCCTGAGCTTGTGCACATGGACTCCAGTCTGTGGGACAGCAAAGTTCCACTTCTCTTTTCGGTGCACTGGGGCCTAGGTGGCAATGGTCTCAAAGGGCACTGCAGAATCAACATCCTTCTCCTTCAGACAGTTCTTCCTCCCCGAGCCCACCTGTTTTTCTCCTCGTCATGCCACTGACCCACCTCCATTAATTCCTTCCTCCTTCTCAGTCTCTCTGCCTTGCTGTGTGATCCTGACCTGTGAGTGACATTCGACACAACTGAGTTCTTCTCTACTGGGACTCGGGCTCTGGTTTTCTGGCAACCCAGGAACTACAGATGCAGGTCTCAGAGACCTTCAGGATCCAGAGTGCAGCGCCCTGCAGTGCGCCCGATGGATTCCCTGGACCTCCAAGTCTGGCTTGTTCCCATAGGACCTGAATAAAGCCAAGTTCTACAGGGGTCCCTGAGAATCTACGCGACATCTGACTCATTCAAATTTCTCCAGGTGTTTTATAGTCAGGTATTTGGCATTTCCTAACCAGTGTTAATTGTTTAGCTTTTGAGGCAGGGTCTCTCTAGGTAGCCCTGGCTGATCTTGAACTCAAGAGTTCACCCATCTCTGCCTCTTAAGGATTAAAGGTGAGTGCTACCTTGCTCAGATATCTTTTGTGAAAATAACATTTCTTTCCTTCCTTTCCCCCTCCAAACCCTCCCATTTACTTCTCCTTGCTCTTTTCAAATTCATGGCTTCCTTTCTAGCTGTTATTACACACCACCACACCATAATACATACACACACACAATTTCCTAACTATAACCCACTCAGTCTGTATAATATTACTCAGCTGTTTATTGCCTTTTAATTGTGTATCTGTGTATGGGTAAGGGATCCCACTGGAGCTGGAGTTGCAGGCAATTTTGAGCTGCCAACATGAGTGCTGGGAACTGTCTGTCCTCTTAACCACTGACCTATGTCTCCAGTACAGTTTTTATTTTTATTTATTTATTTTTTAATATTTATTGTGTATACAATATTCTGTTGTGTATATCTGCAGGCCAGAAGAGGGCACCAGACTTCATTACAGATGGTTGTGAGCCACCATGTGGTTGCTGGGAATTGAACTCAGGACCTTTGGAAGAGCAGGCAATGCTCTTAACCTCTGAGCCATCTCTCCAGCCCTCCAGTACAGTTTTTAAATTCTAACAAAATCTTTCTAGAGAATTTTACACCTGTCTTTTGTACCTGAGCACTGCATGACCCTTTGGGGGTCAAAAGACCCTTTTACAGAGATCGTCTAAGATCACTGGAAGACACAGATATAGATTATTCATAACAGTAGCAAAATTACAGTTATGAAGTAGGGCCGAAAATAGTTTTATGGTTGGGGCCACCACAACGTGAGGGACCGTGTTAAGGGTCACAGCGTTAGGAAGAGCTTGTCAACTGCAGTGCTGGACAGGCAGCACAGGTGTGCTGAGAGCCTCCAGACCTGGCCTCGGGGCGCTTATTTAAATCTAATAAATTAGATGCTAATCACTTGACCAAGCTTACCGTGAGATTTTTATTAATTGAAAAGATGTAGATTACAGCCAGGTGAGGTGGTACATGTTTGCACTCTCAGCATTGGGAAGGCTGAGGCAGGAGGGATCAAGAATAAGGCCAATCTAAGCTACAACTGGAAGCCCCCAGTCTCAAAACAAACAAATAAACGAAACACAAAGAGCCAACCAGTGAAAACTGGAGCACCAAAACAAACTGTCATGAAGGATATTCCAGGATCAGCACTGAATGCCCACTGGTACAGTACTATACTCCCGGGGAGTAGAATGAAGACACTGGGATTATGTAGTTACAAGCACTGTGGCCAGAGCCAAGCAGAGAAGGACAGGAATCTCTCTTTTTAAGAGTTTAAAAGGAAAACCCCAGGGCAGGCAAGCTATAAATCTCAGCAGCTGCTCAGAGGAGGAGAATGGAGAAATGAAGGAAAAGCTATGCTGTTTGAGTTAGGCTGGCATGGAGGTCAGAGAGGCACTCCAGAGAAAGACTAAAGAGAAAGCACACTCAGACTCTGGCCAGCATTGGGGAGCTGGGGTGGGGGAGGATGGGTGGGGAAAGAAAAGAGGAGAGTTAACCCTTTCTAGGTTAGGACTCAGAATGGTAGGCAGAGTCAGCAGACCCTTGTATAGGCTCACAAGGACTGCCCATGTTGTTTTTAAAACATGCTTTTCTTGCAGGGTGTCTTGGCACAAACTTTCATTCCCAGCACTAGAAGGCTAGCCTAGGCTACTTAGTGAGACCTTGTCTCAAAAACAGACAACACTATGCAAATAAAACAAAACTACCAAACTCCAAAGTCACAACAGCATGAGATAAATATAAATGAGAAGGAAGTTCGAGCTCTGCCACTGCCTGTGTGACCTCAGACGTGCTCTGACCTCATCTGTCTCTGAGTTCTTGTTTGTGCCAATCTTGGGCAGACCAACTTCTTTCCTAGGCTGGGAGATTCTAACAAATCCTGAATTTATTAGGACCCTTTCACAGGGGACAGGCCCTCTGCAGCCCCACAACGCAGAACTCACCCGTGCAGTTTCTCTGCTGCACCAGCATCTGTTTGAGCTCGCTGAACTCGCTGGAGCCCTCGGTGGACTCCTCCAGCGTGTTCTCTTGTTCCTGCAAGTCCAGGTCTGGCTGCTCTCCACAGGGGTCACCCAGCTCTGAGTCCTGAAAGCCGTGTTCCTCCACTTGTCCCATCAGCGGCTCTGGTGTCTCCAGTTCTTCTGAGCCCTCATCATTGGTCTGCACCTCGATCTTAATCACGATGCCATCGTGTGCTGAGGGAAGGTGAGGACACACAGAGCAGTCATGCCACCTCCCCAGGTTTCTACAGTCCTAGCATTACATTCCAACAGGTCTTTTTAATAGAGACCCTAAAAAATACAATAGAGTTCATGGTGAGCAGAAAGAATTTTCTGGACACTTTGTAGTCTAGAATACTATTACAAATTGGAGTCGAGTTATAATAATAAAAACTTTATTCCCTATAAATTCTAAGTTATTTAAAAAATTGTTTCACTTTTCACGTCAGGCAACCAAAACCCAGTTTCTCTCTTGCTGGTCCATCTATGCACCAAAGACCATAAAAGGGTGGGCTGTCTCCTCACTTCTCAGACTCCCAGGTCCTCCTCTTGGCCCACATCATTTACCAGCACAGGTATGACTGGGGGGGGGGGTGTCCTGGGTTCCGTCTGTTTTTAACCAGACAGAACACCACTAGATACATGGCTGTAATATTTGTGCTTTCTTGCACAGATCTCTATTAATTTCAGATGGGCTCTGTAGATACAGCATCACTCCACACGAATGGGAGCACAATACACATTTTTGCTTTTCAATGCAGTCTTTTCTTCCCCTATTAATTTGCTTTCTCCTCTCAATGCACCATTAGGACTATGTAGATGATGCCTGTTATTAGCTACAATTGACTCCATGCTTATATAGCTACATTCATATCAGCATATATACCTTAATTTTATTCTTGGGTCACTGTTAAGAGTTCAAATAAAACAGCCTCTTTCCTCTGTGATCAACTATCTTGTAGACAATTTTCCACAGTGCTAACCAGTCTTTTAAATGATCCATATATCCCATCCTGTGGCTCATATGTAATTTAGCAAGTTATTCTCTAATGGAAAAATATTTTTTTGTCCTCGTCTTTTGCTACAGTAAACAATTCTACAACAAACATGTTTATATTCCCAATTACAAAACAGTGGTTTCATTTCTATGATACTGAAGACTGCAATGGCAGCTCACCTTTCCACTACATCCCTGACAGCAACATTTGCATATGATCCTTTTCTTCAACAAATGCAAAAAGTGGCAACTTTGATTCTATTTCTTTTTTGTTGTTGTTTTTGGTTTTTGAAACAAGGTCTCACCATGTAGCCCTGGCTGGCCTGGAAATCACTGTGTAGACCAGGCCAGCCTCAGCCTCCGAAACTGTGATTACAGGCACTAACACTGGAGTGCACCAACACGCTGGCTGCTTACATTTCTTGGCTAGGGATATATGATTTCCTTTACCTACTGGTCCTTCAGAATGATTGTGTAGTAAGTACTGCCTATTTTTAATTTTTTAAAGAGATAAGTTTATCTCCACCTCTTAGAGATGGAGGCAGGAGGATCAAGAATTTGGGTCATCCTCGGCCGCATGTACTCTCAAGTGCTGAGCTGTCTCTCTAGCTCCTCTTTTTCACTTTTTAGAGAGGCTCATGCTAAATTCTCCACACAGTCTTTGAACTTACTCCAGTCCTTTCAGGTCTTAAATTTGTGGTTTTCCTGCCCCAGCCTCCCAAACTTCCAGTGCTGGTGGTCTGGGTATCTTAGGTATCTTCTAAAGGAGCGGGTCCCACCTTCCCAATGCTGCGACTTTCTAACAGTTCCTCATGTTGTGATGACCCCAACCATAAAATTATTTGTTGCTACTTCATAACTAATTTTCTGCTGTTTGTAGAGGTTTGTCCTTGAGAACCACTGTTCTGTGGGCTCACATGCAATCCTATGTACTAGTACTGGAGGTGGTGAAAAGATGGGCAGATTGGGGGCACTACTGCGGTGAAGGCGGCGCCGCAGGCTATGAAAGAGTCACGGTTCCTCTCCTCTCATCTACAGGATGCCATCTGCTGTGCTAGGATGGAGCCAGGACTTCTGAGAGTAACGAGGTGCTGGCGACAAGCGCTCGGCAGTCAAAACTGTAAGCTAAATACACGGGCTTTCTCTTCCAGCGTCAGGGTCTCACTTTTCAACTCAGGCTGGTCTGGAGCTCAGGAGGACCTGGAATTAGCTTGCAGCCAAGGATGACCTGAGCTCTTTTCCCAACCTCTACCTCCCGGGTACTGACCCTACAGCGAAACAATGTCTATAACAGAACTGTCTTCTGTATAAATTACCACATTTGGGGTAGTTTGTTAGGGCAATAAGAACAGTTAACTCTGTCCCCACGTATGCCCGCTCTCTCCTCACTGCTGTTCGTCTTCATTCTGGAGGCCCTCAAGTTGTGCCTTTCCCCGGCCTTCAGCCCGTCTCAAATCACTGTGCGCCCCCCAGATACACAACTTCCCTAACCCGCATAAACTCCTGAAAGTAGTTTACTTACTACTCCCTAAAACAACATTTCAAAACAGTCTCTTTGCACATTTTTGAATAAATATATACGTAAACTGGGTCATCACTATAACCCTGGCACTCGGGGTGCTGAGGCAGGATTGTCACAAGCTTAAGGCCAATCTGGGATGCACTGAGATTGTCTTAAAAAAAAAAAAAACTTACAACAAAAATATAATTTCTAGAGTGACACTGAGACAGAAATGAGTTTTTCCCATTCCTTAAGGTCATCAATGGAATCTGAAAACTCTGGCAGTTTTAAATTCATTATTTGTTTAAAAATACACACAGACGGGGGCTGGAGAGATGGCTCAAGTGGTTAAGAGCACTGCCTGCTCTTCCAAAGGTCCTGAGTTCAATTCCCAGCAACCACATGGTGGCTCATAACCATCTGTAATGAGGTCTGGTGCCCTCTTCTGGCCTGCAGATATACACACAGACAGAATATTGTATACATAATAAATAAATAAATATTTTAAAAAAAATACACACAGACAAGCTGGGATCGTTTTTTTATAATTATACATATAATTTATCACACACACACACACACACACACACACACACACACACACACACACACACAGTGTCGTGTGCATGTTTGCATGCAGGCCAGAAGAAGGCACCAGATCTCATGATAGATGGCTGTGAGCCACTATGTGGTTGCTGGGAATTGAACTCATGACCTCTGGAAGAACAGCCAATGATCTTAACTTCTGAGCCATCTCTCCAGCCCGACAGCTGGGATCTTAACTCCACTCTTCTCTACCTTGAGCCTGTTTCCAATCCCACTTGGCCCCACGAATGCTATCCTAATCAAATGCTCTTCCATGCTCAGGAGCCTTTTGCTGATCACCTCATAGGCCACAAGAATGTTTCTGAAAATTGAAATATAATCTTGTTTTCACTGCTAATAGTCACAAGGCTGTACATGTTCATTTCTTCCTGGTTGAAGTTATCCTTAGCGTCAATTATGCAGAATGATAAACAGTTATCTAATATGGAAAATAAAAAAGTTTGGAAACAAATCTAAAGATAAGGAGAATTTTTCTCAATTAGTTCAATTACAAGAGAATAAACATATATTCTTACTGTATAATTAGACAGATCAGAATTAGGTCTACTCTGTTTTCCATGTTTTTACAGACACAGGTACTGTGGAAGGTGCTCAGTTGGGAAATGTCATTTGATTCTTTGAACTTACTACAAAAACCATGGGGTTGAGGCATCATTAAAAATTGTTCTTTATGGCCAATGGCCGACAATTATGTTCTTTTGGTTTTTTGGTAAAGCAAAATATTGCAAAAAACCCAACTTGCAAAAGGCCTGCCACACAGGTTCAAGAGCCCCTCTGCACATGTCTTCCGCCAGCTTGGATCATGTGGGTGGTGATGCAGAGGGCTCACCTCAGAGAAGCCCCATGTAAGATTAGGATGGGCAGGGGTGTCCACCTTAGAGATGCTCCATGTAAGACAGGCAGGGGTGCCCTCGTATTTCTTGTGGTCCACGGGTTTGGAACCTGGGATCTAATGCAAGCCAGACATGTCTACCACTGAGCTGTGCTCCCAGCCCCCATTTTACTTTTTGTTGTTGTTTTTGTTTTTTCGGGGATACAGGGTTTCTCTGTGAAGCCCTGGATGTCCTGGAACTCACTGTGTAGACCAGGCTGGTCTCAAACTCACAGGGATCTGCCTCCCAAGAGCTAGGATTAAAGAAAGGTATGTACCACCACCGCCTGGCATTTTACTTTTTAAATTTGAGACACACACCTTAAATGTGAATAATGAAATCATATTAGTTCTGTATTAGGAAAAAGTCTGGGTGTATACACTTGCTGTCTGGTTGTTCACACAAACATTAAATGCTCCCCATCCACATCAACTATAAGCTTCTGCTGTTAAATCTTTTGCTATGTAGCCCAGGCTGGCCAACTAGAGCTTGCAGTTCTTTTGCCATTGTATAATGATGCTGGGATTACAGGTCTGTGCTGCCATGACGAGTTACTTTATGACAGTTATGTGTCTATGCTGTTGAGTTGGCACATGTACCACACTTGCACAGGAGGTCAGAGGACAGCTTTTAGGTCTGGGTTCTTGCTGTGGAATAATCCTTTTATACACTGTGAACATGTATCGCTATTATTAGTAGTAAAGAGCTGACAAGCCAATAGCTACGCAAGAAATTTATTTAATCTGTGATGTTATATCCGGGCTAGCCTCACTGCTGTGGGGACCCTCCTGCCTCTGTAGCCCAACTGTTGGGAGGACAAACATGTATTACTGTACCTAGATGGACTGATTTTTTAATCTCTATAATTGCTTTTCATAAAGACTGTTAAGAAACAGAAAAACTATCCTACAAACTGATTTTGAATATATAAGGGTTACCTGTTAATGGAAATTATGCAGTGTTAGATTTGGAGAAACTTAAACAATTGGTTATGTTTCACATTTCCTTTGTTTTGTTCTCTAGTTTTAAAAGTTGTTCAAATACCTTCAGGGTTAGCCCAGCCCTCTCCTGCCTCCTCTGCCTTCCAGGTGCTGGGATTCCAGACACGCACTACCACACCCTGCTTCTCTTTTTACTTCTGACAGCCACTCACTAAGCTGCCCAGCCGGGCCACGAACTATGGATCCAACTCTCTTATCTTCCTCATAGGCTGGCATTA